AGAAAAATTTTTGAATCCCAGACTTTATATCAATTAATGTAGCTAAAATAGCTGCGTTAGTTTTGATTTTTTTAATAACTATCACAACGATTTTACAGCTAAAATAATTGCTGCATCTTGACTTTTTTATTAACTATCACAACGCAGTTAAAAGCGAAATAATAAATTTGCTGTAATTAAGGCAGCTAAATACGCATTCAACGCGACAAAAAAAAGATTAAGCTTAAAGAAATTTGAAAATCTAAACTTAGTTCTCCAATTTAGCTTAGAGATAAAATAAAAGGAAATTGGCATTTAAATGGTAGTGTTCGTCAGAGTTCGTACCTTTAACCGCCTCGGCGAGAGTCTTGAGAGTTGGGACCGGGTACCTATAATTCGCACTTAGAACAACAGGTAGGACGAGGGCTGAATATAAGACCGGTGCGGGAGATGGCAAAAGTGGCAGTGGACCGCGCGGGCAATAGGGCAGAAGAAGAACCGCGCTTAGAAGGCAGACGCTTTGTGCCGTCTTCTCCTTGTCGATCGTCAACGAATTCGCACGGACGCGACGCCTCACGCGCGCTATCATACCCATCTTGATAGTCCTGAAATTAAATAATGGAAAATATAGGATTTCTTCATCGATATCACATTTCAAAGTAGAAAACTTGTGCAGAATATTTATGTCTTCCTATATATGTCTACACATCGACTTTTTGAAAATCATGCTTTTGATCGGGAAATTTTGTGGAAATTTTAGAGATAATAAACGTTCCTTTATTAAAAGATTGGTTTCTGAAATCTGTTATACAAAAAATAGGATCACGGTCTTAGCAAGCGGTACGGATTTGTTCTCAGAAATTCTGCCTGTCTATCAATCCTTAATTTCTTATCTTATTTGTTCTTACTCAATTGTATAAGAAGAAACAAGTAAGATAAGGAAACCTAATTGGGTAAAAAACTCAAATTTTTCCTCTCCCTCTTCTAGCTTTGCTTTTTCAATCTTTCTTTTTATCCTCATTCACATTCGTGTCATTTTCGATAACAGCTTCTAAAATATTTTACTTCCCGTGTTGGTCTCCAATTCTATCAGATATGACCGTTTCTGAATTATTATATTAAATTCTTTATAATTTTTTATTATTTATTATTGTATGTTAATTTTATCTGTTACGGTGACTTGTTAATTTTGTTATTCCTATTTTTGTTTTTCGTTTATCAAACATGTTACGTATGTCTGATCCAACTGTTAGAGACAATTTTAATAATTCAACTCGATTTAAGATAAAGTATTGTAACTCCTTTCTCATCTATAAATTTATTCTTGAGCAACTGTATGGCGCTTCGAATTTTTATTAACCGAATTTATTAACCGATATTAGGAATAACATTTTATTTAATTTATTTTTATTTAACTTGTCTTTATTAATGTTTTCGCACTGAAAGTGACTATATTGAAGATTAACGCTTGTATTGCGATAACGAATTTTTGTGAAAATAGATTTAAAATTAAAATAGATTTAGTATTGTCATCTATCTTCGGCTCGAATAATCCTTTATACTTCTTGATTTATTTTTACAGAGCAATTAATTGTTATTATTAAAATATCATGTAAGTAAGGCTAAAGAATGTTAAAAACAATATGGTAACAATATGATAACAATATGGTAACAATATTTTACGAATACAATATAAAAAAGCATATAACCCAAACTGTATGTTTATGCTAAATAAATATTTTTTTAAAAATATTTTGGAAATAAATAATATATTAAAAACATTAATATATTAATAAACATATCAACCTGTTTCAGGTCTTCAGTGTTATAAACAAAAAATCGTAAATTAAAAACATGTCTAAACAATAGTAAGAAAATAAGATGTTACATATTGTTAAATTGTTAAAGAAAATCAATAAATAAGAAATAAAAATTAATTAACGCACTTATATATAAAATGGAACAGAGTCTGTTAAAACAAAGAATTTTGCCAACAAAATCAGATAAATGTTTTTATGCAGAAAAATTGAATTTGAATATAAGTAATATGTAAGAATTTATTACTATATATTATATATTACTTATATATTCAAATTCAATTTTTCTACATAAAAAACATTTATCTGACTTCATAGACAATAAGACAGAATTTCCAATAACATTCAATATTTTTCCTATTAATTTAATATACATCGAAGCAACTATATATATCAGAAATTCCCAATTTTCAATACGAGTCAAAAACTAAGCGTACATTTATATAAGTACATTAATTGTTATTACTTATTCATTAGTTTATCTTTTTGACAATTTAACAATTTGTAACATCTTCTTATTTTCTTATCGTTATATTTGACATGTTTTTAATTCATTGTTTTTTGTTTATAACACTGAAGATAACCAGATTGAAACGTTTATTTTTATTACATTATTTGTTTGCGAACCGTTTTTTAAAAAAATATAATATACTTACGGACGTCCAACTTGGCTCTTTTTACCACACTTATTATTAATTTTTTGTATTTTCTTATTCTATGTATACTATAAAAATATATCAAACAAGCACAATTTTCAATGACACAGTCTGCTTAAATTGCTCAATGCGTTCTTCAAAATTTTGTCTTATTATTTATATAATTAATATTAAACTAATATATTATCACGATAATTTTATTATTATTATTGGAAATTAATGAATATCTTTGAATAATTTCTCTTTTTTTATTCAATTATCTCATGATATAAATAAATTCTCAAAAAAAAGCTAACAAATCAAACCATCGATGATTGATTAGTAAAACTTAAAACTTAAACTTACATCAATCGTTAGCTTGTAGCCTGCTAATTACTTAAGCTACTAACGAAGATTGGAATGCATAAACGAAAACTACATTGAGTTTATAGTAAGCTCGATTAATGAGCCGCCAGAAATCGTTCGCGTAGTCGCTCTTGGCAAGTCGTCTACATAGATCTTCAAATCTTCTTCTCACAGCGCTTGTCTATATCGAATGCACTTCGAACTATTTCCAACCACGGGGAGATCTCTTCTCACAAAGATCTTCATCTGCCTAGTTTCTTTCTTCTTTTTTCTTCCAGAGAAAACAAAGATACTGCTCCCATTTTGCATCCGCGGTTTACACCAATCGTTCTGTTTTTTATCCTCAGTATATTTATTCGTAATCTGGTATGCGCGATTTATTTATTATCCTTTGAATCGTGAACCGTATGTTTCCTGATGTTCGCAAGCAGCCAAGATAGTAATTAAGTAGTTCATCTTCTGCCGACTGATTTATCCTCAATGTGCAAAAATCTGTTTATTTATTCTGATTATTTTTCTTTTCTCGCGAATAAGTCCAGTTTTAAGTACCATATTAAAATTATTAGATATTATTGTAAATTTTTGTAAAAAAATCTCGGCTTCTAAGACGTATTTATAAATCAAAACTTTGATCCCTTTTTCTTTGTACAATTTTACATATCATAACATCTGCGATGACGCACATCAGACACACGATGTCAGATGATTCGATGAGATATACATTGGCCAAAGAAAACTGCGAAAGTAACGTGACATGTTTGGCACAAATTTCGAAAATTACATTTTGTAATTGTTTGTGAAACATTGTTTAACAACAATGTTTCGGTTGTGTCAACAATTAATAGTAAACATATTTACTCAATTTCTAATTCATGAAAATTCGAGCACTAAAACACGTCGTGCGTCGAAAATATTGATCCTGAATTGTTAATACATGATTGTTAATACGACATTTTCCACGAACGGGTAAAAATGTGCTGTTTTGAATTTTATGACCAAAAATAGATGAAATGTGTTATCGAATTTTATATCGATAAATTTTGATTCCTTCATGCATTCTTTTTTATGATTTAATTAGAAATTGATTTCATCCCGCGATTCTTGTTTTCAGAAAATATTTAAAAATAATAGAAAAAACGAAAAATTTTAAAGACAATCCGTTTCATATTTCATGCATTAAATAGAAGCGAGCACGGATCATATATTTTACTGTCAAAGTATATTTAGTGCCAAACATGCCTACCCAATTGTTGTTCCATGTTTATATTGAAGGAGGTCTGTGCATGAAGTAAATAAGACGCAGAATCAGATGCCGCATTTAGCTCGAACTACGCGCGATGGGAATCTTTAAATATGCAATCATCACGGTTCCGATGCAATCAGTTTTACGACACGTCCGCCTCGGAAACACGTGTCTATTTCCTACATTTCTTTCTCGAATTAATCATCTATTCTGATTCTCGCATTGTGTATCAAATTTAAATTAAAATTAACTACAAAGCATTATGATGAGAAAAAATTAATTTGCATTTATTAATATAACATGATATCTTTCCAATACTGGAAAGATATCAATTTCAATAATTGTAATTGTACAAACATCATTCGGAGACGTCATTTTTAAATGATGAAGTTATATTCAATATTAGAACGTAACATTTAATATAAAATATAATATATAAAATTTTTTTACAATAGACGTCGATACTTGGTCGATGATATTTGCATCTATAAAACATAACTCGATTGCTAGAAAAAGAATCGATTGCGACGGGTAAATGTCAATGATATTCTGATTACCTTCAAGTAATGACGAAGAGTATTCAACCCTTTGCAAGAAAAGCGTAAATTTCGAGAATTGAAGAAGTTTTTTCTCTCCCTCCCTCCCTCTTTCTCTCTTTCTCGCTTTGTTTTTTCTCTCGCACTTTCTTGAAACTCTTTAGCTCTTCGATATTGTCAAGACTCGCGAGATTCACTTTCGAGAGATGCGTCTCTGCGAGATTTCACTATGGAACAAATTCGTCGTATGTGTTTGACCGCACACGTCCAAAACGAATGCGAACTGGTACGATACTGACCGTCCTGTTGATCTTTGTACCAGCGGAGCAACGAAACAAGACGATATGTGTGCGTGCATACGTGACAGAAAATGAGAGAGAGAGAGAGAGAGAGAGAGAGAGAGAGAGAGAGAGAGAGAGAGAGAGAGAGAGAGAGAGAGAGAGAGAGAGA